CGAGCATGGCCAGCATATCCGGCAAAGGATCCGCCCCTTTTTACTCGAGCAATCCGATGACTTGAGATTTGCAAATCCCATTCTGCTGCCAAGCTGCTGCAGCCCTATCTGAGTACTACTAACGTATTCACGCCTAGTAGCAGAGAACCTCTGCAGCCGCTAAGACATCATATTGCCTATTGCTAACCATTTCTGTCAATTTACCTTGTGGAGCCTATGTAGCCACGTACGAGTCCAGATGCCTGAGGCCTGCGAGGTGTATTTTTGGGTAGCCGCCCAAGGGAAACTGTGGTGATGGGGGTACTGGTGCACTCTCCTGCGAGCGTGTTATACCCTCTCACCTTGACGCGACGCGAACGTGTGGGTACACATCAGTAGCTATCCTGCAGCTGCGTGCTCCAGTGTCAACGTGGATTACGGTAGTGGCCACTCATCAGACTGTAAAAACCGGCTTGTCACACGTTCTACCGCGCCGCCCCAAGGTGACCCTCTGGGCGACACCTACGTATTATCCGAAAATTTGAAAATAATCAAGTACGGCAGCTTGACCATAAATACCTCTAATTCTAGATAATACTTACCTTGTTCTTATCGACGTATATCGTGGCAGAAACGCCGTTTGAGCATTTCACTTTGATAGTGCCCTCGTGGTATAAGTTGCGGTCTTCTGGGGCATATACGAGATTCTCAATGTGGGTGGTGATCTGAAAGATGCTGGAATAATGGTATGGAGAACATGGCCAGTATTGAAACCCTGAATAAATGTGTCGTCGAGCTTTTTACATGGAATACGCCATGCACATGGTTCCGTGGAATCGTAAAGGTTCGTTGACTGTGAAAAATTATATTTGAGCTCCATTCTTCTCAAGATGCCGTGAAATGGCACTGGGAATTGAAAAGAAGGAAAGGCTGGCTTGTTTTAAGAAGCCTGCGAGAATTAATTTAAATCCGAGATGTTAGATTTATCATCAGACTTGGAAAGTTACCTTGTTCCATTGGTAGTCTTCACCGCTCATCGTCAGCTGTAGCCGCACCGGCCTTTCTGGTGCAAACTCGCAAGTCTGAGCCCATGCGTTCCACGTTACTTCCGC